GTCCCCTCCCAACTTCTTGTGCACCCCCAGCCTGCTCGCTGGTGGGGTGGGGTGAGAGGCAGAAAAGGCCTTGACTCTGTGTCAGCCCTGCTCAGCAACAACGAAAACATCCCTGTGTTATCAGCACTGTTTCCAGCACAAATCCAAACCACAGCCCCATGCTAGCTGCTGTGAAGAACATTAACTCTGTCCCAGCCAAAACCAGCACAACCTGCTATGCTGCGCTTTCTGCTTCTACAGGGAGCTTTTTCCAAGGGAAAATAATCTCTTTTCTACCTTAATAGCCTTTGGGAGTAAAGAATTTCTCTCTGCTGTTGTCTAGAGTAGACTGGATAGGCCCTGTTTTTCTAGCTTATCCTCACTTGTAACTTCATGTAATAGAGCCATGTGGGGAGGTGGCTTCAGAAAGAGACACAGGAGGAAGACCCACTGCCTTTCACAGAAGTTGAAAGAAAATAATAAAAATACTGTTTTCCTGGCTGCACTGAAACTCTCTCGTTCTTGACCTTTCCTGCCCTTACCCAGCCTACGCAATAAGAAATGGATGAGCTCTTGGTGCTTGTCAGGAAGAGGCTTTGTTCAGCGCCTTGCCTTTGGGTATGCAAGAAATCCCCATTCGCAAGAAATCCCTGTTCGCCCGCCGATGCCGGAGGCGCGGACAGAGCTGGACGGAGCTGCCCGAAACTGCGTGTGAAGGGAAATGGTGAACCGTCTCCCCATTTCCCACGGGTCGGAGCACCTCTGTGCCCGCTTCGGCCTGGCTTGCTTGTGAAGAGAAATGACGTAAGGCCTGAAGTTCGCCGTTGCAATTTGCATTTAATGCGCGATCATACCGTGCTATCCTGGGCGGGGAAGCGGGGTGCCTTTAGCCCCTCCGGCGCACCCCAACACCCCCCACTTCCCCTTTCGAAGCGGGGTTAGCCCCTCCGGCGCACCCCACCCCCCCTCCCCTTTCAGGAGAAACGACCGCGTCTGGGGAACGTGGGGGGAAAAGAAAAAAACCGCGCCGCGGGCGGACACAGACGCCGCTTCTTGAGAAACCTCGCCGGAGCTCACGCTCCGCGGGCGGAGCGGCGCGGCGCCACCCGCGACCGGGAGGAGTGCGACGACGGGGAGAAGCCGCTTCACGTTGCCTGTGCGGGCAGATGGTAGATGGT